AAAAAAAGATCAGATCTAATAAAAAAGAAAGGCAGTCGATGAAAAGTATTGCGTCATATCGATTGGCGTGGAGGCGGGATGAGTACGGTAATTGCAGTGACATTTGCCGCACGCCGCAAGGGAGAATGTCGCAATCGGAAAGAAATTCCGTTACCCTCCAAAGTACAGCCATGAGTGCTGAGCACTGCTGGCCACTCGTTGATATCATTGAAAACGCTGAAAGCGTCTATTGACAACGCTGTGCTGCCGTTATGGACAGCAACGCTCCCCGCTCAACGCTTATCGCAGTATTCTGAAAGCGCAGCAATAGGATAAATGATTGGAGCGCACAGTGTCAGATTGTCGGTGGATGTTTGGGTGGTATTGGTTGGCCTTTGTGAAACATTATTTTCCTTATAAAAACTCCATTATACGCAAGCTCTTCACGAAAACAAGGAAAGACTGGGAAAATGATCAAGTCTAAGCGAAAAAGCAAAGCAGGTAAACAAAAAATAGACCCATCGTTGAGCGGATACGCGGGCCGATAACGGCAACTGGAACTTCAACGCGTGGGACAACTGAAAAGGTTCGCCGACGCGAACGTAGAAAATCGAGGGGAAGTCTCTTCACCCCGATTGAGGTCTTCATTCAACGTGCTACAAGAAAGGTGCTTCAGGAAATGTAATTTTCAACTAGTGAACCTCACTGGTGGCAATAGTCCATCGAACGCGAAACAGGCTCATTATTGTTGTGGTATGCTGCAAGGAAGAATGGGAGCGGAGGAGCGTAAAGAATCGGAACTCAAAGTCCCTCCCTCTTCCCCATAACAACAAAGTAGACAGTCTTGTTTCGTAAGTAAAAGCTTAGAAAATTAAATAAAAAATTGGCAAACCTTGAACCACCCTCACACTGCTCTCCATTATCGCAGCTGTCCAGCGGGTTAGCCTTTACTAGTTTTTTCATGGCAAGGGTGGTTGGCATTGGAAGAGCTACACACTTGCCGGAGACGACGATGAATCCATGCTGACAACGGCATTGGCCGGATTGACAACTGAAAAGTGACGATGACATTCGTTATGATGATATAAAAAACTAATGACTCAGCAAAATATGTGGCCGTAAATTGGGAATGTTCGATAGATTACCTGCTCTCCTGAGTGCATATAGTATTTTCGTCGCACGATTCGCCAGGTATAGCAGTTCTTTTGAAGTGTTGTGGTACGCATTCGTCACCCTTTAGAATCGAATTGTTCGAGCAAGTGCAAACCTGAACTAGAGCTCACAAAATCATTTCTTGGTAGGAACGGCTTCAATCAATGGAACTAAGGAAAAACTCGAAAAAAATCGGATTCGACAGAAAAGAATTTATTTGCTCTGAAGCAACTCCCACTGAATGGTTTCAATCGTACTGCCTCGTTACTTTCTCCATCAGTGTGTAAGGGGAAGGACACAATCTGTGATGAAAATACACGGGTCACGACTCTAGCAGTATCGCCGTAATAAGCACTCCTGTGGTACAATATGTAAATTTTATTGAGAACTTGATGGCATACCCCAATCTCGTTACAGTAACTTCCAGCCACACAGATTTCACCATTGGCGCATTTCTGACCTGGTCGAGCATATGTAGGAGAGCCTAAAGAAAGCTGGTCAAAATAAATTATATTTGCTTTGTCAGTACTGTGAGATGAGAGGCAGTAACCAGTACGACAGCCTCTCGAAGTATGCTTGCGGTCGATGCGATGAGAAGAGATTTAAAGGCATCGTTCACAAAAAAGTTAGGGTACCCTTTTTCGACGGGAATTGATAGAACTACTCTAGAATAAAGCGATAACAACGAAAAAAGCGAGGCCTCCCGTCCCCCACTGTTCCTGCCCTTATTGTGCCCTATCCAGCCGTTGTCCGACCTCATTCCTGCACAAATGGTATCAGAGGGGGCTTCGAATTCAAACCATGTGCAAATCTCCGAAACCACTTTTTCGTGAACAGTGCCTTTAAAGGAACTACGCAAATTGTCAGTAATAAACTGCAGGATAGTTTACAAACAGTTACACAGACGATGTGGTAATCATGAAGGGTATTGGAGTGGATTAGTCTTTCATTCAGCATTAACAACAAATTGATTCCCATGTTTATTGCTGATAATAGAACCCTAAGCCCACACATTTAGGACCGGAGACCTGCGAAAATGTCATGAATCAAAAGCAGATCATATTTCCATGCAGGCAAATCATGAGTGATTAAAACTGCACACGTGTTATGGTGAGTAATAAGTATTGTTTTTAATTGTAACCTTTATCAGGCGTTTCTTAGAGATCGAAAGAAACGGCGAACAAATTGCATCAGTGCATGTGAATTTTTAATCAGAAAACTTCAATGGTTTTGATGGTCCCGAAATGAAGGCCGTTTCCCCTGAATGTTCTTTTAACAGCTTTCATTCGATGGATCTGGTGGAGCTTCTGATGGAGCTTATACTTATCCCACAAAACCACTGGTCTAGTGGTTGGTATAAAAAGTGCTAGTCACGAGAAAATACGATTCCATTCAGAAATCTTGTGGCTAGAATTAGAAGTTAGATAAAATGCTGGAAGCCAAACAAACTACCTTGGCGTCTCGCTGTTCCGCGTACTTTTTTCCGTCTCGATGGCACACATCCGTCATTCCGCAGTACATGGCCATCAGGACATTGACAGCTAAGGTTACGACACACAGTATTGCTGCGGCAATATAAGCCAATCGCAGCGCATTCATCGGTTTCCAAAGCTGTATTAGCGATGTTTAGATGGTTATTGTAGCATGCGTGGCAACAGGTGATGGTGATGTATGGGATGATGTCGACTTGTATGTGTGATGGTGGGTGAACTCAGCAGTGTGCACGTTACCTGGACTGGGGATGTGAACTGAAGACGTCGATGGCGCTGTCATAGCGGCGGTAGGCTCGCAGCGACCTTGGGGAGACGGCTGCGTTCCTGATGGGCACAAACATACACCATCCACACACGTAGCACCTCCAGCACATGAGTCAAACGGACCTGAAACGTGAGATTTGCTACGAACAGCTGAAATTTCCGTTAACGGCAGGTCTGCTTTCGGTGGGGCAACTTTCAGACCGTCCCCTTTACAGCGGCCCTTTTAAAGTCGACTGCGCTACCATTTTGGCCATCTCAATGCTCTACCGCTTCCGAACACTCAGCATTCTCAATAGTTTGGCCTAATTTTCATTTCCTTCCCTCCAGATCAGGTCAAGAACTTTNTTTCACTCTCTGACCGCAATTCGCTGAAATAAACTAACTGACTGCATATGAGGCGTGCACGTTAATGGAGGCAAATAATCATGTGCTTGTGGTTGGCGTATCCTCTGGAAAGTCCAACTCCGTTAATATACAGCCAATCAATAGAGTTTATAACAAACAGCGCAATCATTCGAAAGTCTTGTACAGCAGTCTGACCGCCCGGCTTCCCTCCCCCCGTTTTTCATGGTAAATTGGAGTGCCTTACATTTGATATTCCTCCTTCCCTTTTAGGCTCGAATAATTTTAGTAGCGAACAGACAATTTCAAACAGTAGACTAGACACCGATCAAAATTGGTTGGCTATTATCGATTGGTACATTTGTAGATTGTAGCTGGATTACTACGAGGTTTAGCTGTTCCACCATCGACGAAACTAAATAGATCGCACAGTACACGTTGCTCCCGACCCACCACTCCAGCAACTTCGTATGATCATGTTCCAAATACGAAGGTTTTGTAGCTTGAATTGTTATATTCCCGCGCGCCAACATTTGAACACATTACCGCAATTGCCTGGCACGTTTCTAGTCGGCAGTTTTTACAATACCCCGCTTTACTGTTTCATCTTCTAGTTCCTCTAGTTTCTACCTGGAAAGTGAACTCGACTCGCTTTATCTTGCTTTCACTCTGCTTCGTTAAGAGGTATGTGGCGGGCAGCGACACGACAGCTGGTGAGGTTTAAAGAAAAAGACTGTTTTTTTGGAAATATGAGACTTAACTCTTTCTAACTCTTTCGTCAGTGTGCGAATTTATTCTTCAGACGAGTTTTTAGTTTGCCAAAAATCTATTTATTTTCATTGTGCATGTGTATACGTACATAGATCTTTCCTAGTGCATTCATTGATGACTCACTCTAATTTAAATCAAGTACGTGAGTTACTATCGATTTGATTTGCAGCTGACCATTATTCACAACTTTGTTCCCTTCAGTTATAGAGCGTTAGGGTGGGGTAGGATTTACAACTTAGGGATGTTAGTCAATACGCCGTTCATATAGATCTGCTGTATAATTCACCGATTATTCGCAACTTTGCTTCTTTTACATAAAACTGATTAAATTTTGTTTCAAATAAAATTTTACATCAAATACTCTAGTACATACCCGCCCACCTGATTGACACAAATATTCACTCGACGTTACGTCTTTGCACACAAATGTGTTAGATGGAGCCCTCCTCGAGGCCACATACGAATGGCTTCGTGATCCCGGATGCACGTTCAGATTGCACGGTTTCTCACTGTCTTTTTTGAAAGTTTGAATTGCTCGCTTTTAAGGTGTTTGGGCGATTACTATAGACAGATCAGGGGTTTAGCTTTGGGCCAACGACTAGCACCAGTGCTGCCAATAGTATATGTCAAAATATGGGAAGTCTATTCTAGACCGCAGACTGCTCTCTGTTCTCGCTATATTGACGAGTGCCTGATCATATGCTCCACATAAGAAACATGGACGCATGTTTCGACATTCTAAACACACAGGCAGATCAGATCGAATTCACATAAGAAAGACGAACAGAGAGCTGGTTTTCATTTATTAATATCCAATCCAAGCCCGGCTATTGAAGGGGCAGTGCGAACCAAACGGTACCCGTGAGCGGCTAATTGCAAGAATGTTGTTACTTTCTACCATTCAGCTTGACCCTATAGGATCAAAGCAGTCTGTAATTGAAAATATGTTCACATTCCAGCAAGGTCTCCTCTGAAAATGATCTTATGAGTAGTTGAACATGGCTCGATAAGTTGCGCGGTCTAATGCGTATCCTGGCTGTCACCAAGAATCAAAATGTGGGTAGCATTTTACACCGCGCAAGATTTGCCCACAAGCCTCTCTCAATAAGGTGGTGTTTTGCTTGCGTTCATCTCCGGAGAGATGAACAGAGAAATTCGAGTCTCTTCGACTAGCTTGATCCACAGGAAGCCAGAGCTGTAAAAAGCTCAGCCGGAAGTTGACCGTAATCGCCTTCACGATACTCTGTGTAAGACCCGAGTTTGCATTGTGTGCCCTTACATTCGAAAGGGTGATAGCATAAAAATTGCTGTCTTCTACCGAATCCGATGCCAGGCCTGTGATACTGAGTATACCGGTGAAACAGGGCGCTCCCTTCGTACGAGAATCAGGGAACATCTGTAGAGGAAAGGGCACCGCTGAGCGAAAACACTCGAGGCATTTTGGATTGCCGCTAGTGATCCACAATTGATAGGAAGGAAGTGTGGCCATAATCCGTACCCTCACGCGCTTCCATGACTTCTGCAAGTTTCTGTTGAGACCAGGAAAGAGATGGGCTGGTTATTGTACGCAGAGGATTCGTTCTTGTGTGGCCGTCTGGCTACTAATGTCGAGGAAAGCCATGTGTAATAGCACTTTGTGCTCATCGGATTCAGAGTCCACTAGTTTAAATGACTGATCTCAGTACTGACTAGCCCTACGCGAGGATCACTCTCGATTCGCTTTTTGACTTTCAAGGTCTGAAGAGGAATCGTCAGCTGCATGAAGTTGAAAAACCTTGGCAAGGTTCAATCATCACAATAATAGATTTGAATTTACGTTCTTTTTATTATTTTTTTATGAATAACTCTGTTTCGCACTATATTGTAATTACAAAGTCATACTGGCTTGCAATGTCGAGCGACATCACCACAGCATGCTTCCAATTGAGTATGCAAATAAAGTTTCACGCCTGAAGCTAACGAAGCTGTGAATACGCGGCACAAAAAAGTCAATATCCGATTGGGTGTTCACTGCAGCTCAACGCCGATAGCACTTCCGGGTCGGTCACTTCCAATGATGTTCCCTGATTCTCGTACAAAGGAAACGTCATGTTGCACAGATACAATGAATAGTCGGTCACTTACAAGCAGTTCAGTAGTCATTCTTACTGCCAAACAATTAAGCCTATTCCACTATAGCACAAATCCTTTTATACATGCTTCATTCCTTCAGGAGTTGAAAGCCCCATGCTGAGGATCGTTAAGCTGTGTATATGCTTTCGATCATAGTTAACTGATGTTTACCAGTATTGTTCATTTGAATCGTTAGTCATCAAAACAACGAAGTGCAGATTTTTGATTCCAGATCTGCACACACTTTTGTACTGGGCTTTGAAACGTTTTCAAGTAGTGTTATTAATTCTGAGTTTCAGCTGCGCCCATGTTGCACACGCCCTACCTACCAAAAAATCTTGTCTAATCCTTCTTGGTCAGCCCATATTAACTTTTCCTCAACCCTGAAGAGCTTTTCGAACCCGAACAGATTTACGATCTGATTACCTCCCACTATTGCGAAACTTCATAGTGTTTCCTCGCTAACGTGAAAGTTTTATGCCTATTTACCTCGATAACAGCCTCAACCTATATCATTTCGTTCTCTAGAACATTTCTAAATAGGAACATAAATTATTGATCTGACTACGTCCACTTTGGTTCCCGAACAGCACATAATCAACAGTTGTGTTCCCATCTTTCGCTAGTTCAAACCTGTATTCGATTTGGTTCAACGAAAATTTTCAGTATTTTCAAGTCACGCTACACGTCATATGTGCTTGGAGGTAAGGCAACTCCTCATCAATTCCAACTTTACTGTGTATTTTTACCCCGCAAAAGCTCTTTCGCGCGCGGTGCCTCCCCCCTCTCCGCATGCGCTATTCTCACGAAACCAAATTTTTGCGCAGGCCCCATCCCTCGTGGGTGTAGTCCTGTCCTACCACATGCGATTATTGTTTTAATCCTGACTTCCTTATCCCTTCCAAAGAGACATTCCCTCCANCATCAATTCCAACTTTACTGTGTATTTTTACCCCGCAAAAGCTCTTTCGCGCGCGCTGCCTCCCCCCTCTCCGCATGCGCTATTCTCACGCTAGAAGAAACCAAATTTTTGCGCAGGCCCCATCCCTCGTGGGTGTAGTCCTGTCCTACCACATGCGATTATTGTTTTAATCCTGACTTCCTTATCCCTTCCAAAGAGACATTCCGTCCACTGTGAGAACATCCAAGGTCAAATATCACGAGGATGTACTCGATTTTCTACTGCAACAGAAGCGATCATGCCCTATTGGCTTGCTCGAGGTACCGCACTGTCAACAAGCGACTGGATTTATTTGAAATGACAAAATCTCTGCTGTGAATGCGGTTTAGCAGACACCTATCAAGGGTGAATTCAAATTCGAAAAGGATTCATATGGCGGGATGAGATTACAGAAAGCAGGTAGCAAGTGTAGACTCCGAGGTGGGAGGAAGAAGTGTGAGGAGGGGAATTATGGGCAATCCTATCCAGAATCCTTCCAGAATATGCACCATTGGTTCATAGCATTGTTCCCTTCAGGCAAAGAACGTTCGCGTGTGCTAAGTTCCATGTTACGGGATGTTGGCCGTTGCACCGTTATGTCATATGGACCTGTTGTGTAGTTGTATGCCCCGTCGCAGCTTACACTTTCAACTGTGAAAGCGTTGAGGAAGTGTAGTGCGAATGAACTGTAAATGAAGCGAACTATATAATGGCTAGATATTTTATCCAGTCACTTTGTACAACTCGACATGTGGCTGCTACTAGCTACTCAGTTTTACGGGAAGAAAAGAGAAAGAGTATTTGTTTGTCTCGGTAAGACATTCTAACTTTGACATAAAAAAGAGAAAGCCTCGCATAAGCCCGGCGATCCGTTTAGTGTACATATACACCAAAGCCCCATACCCATCAGCTAAAACTCAGCACCAGTAAACGCTAACATGACATACATACAGTAGAACTCCGCCAAGCGGAGATCGCTTGAAATTGGGCTTACTTGCACTTCTTGAACATACCACAATTTGCTGTTACTGGAACCACTCGTCCTTCCAAATTCTGCGTCGCACGGAAATCGGTGGAAGGTGAACGCGTCGGCTGGTTACTGCTAATCTAAAATGTTCGTAATGATTGCAATCGTAATCTGATCTCATGGAAATGATTTGATCCTTTTGATCAATGCCCAAGTTCTGGTTTAGCTAGTTGTTTTCATACTGTCAACAACACTGTCATATTGTAAAAATAAATAAATAAAGGAAATAGACCGTAATAACTCTCTAAAAAGCTTGACCCTGCGATATGGAGTATCGCCCTGCTGGGAGGACTTCCGGCTGTCTCAGGGAGCGGAGTTGGATCAATGATTCACTATGTCCATCAGAGTTCTCTTCAATATTTACACTTCGTTTCCAATTTCCACACCGGTACCAACGAAACAACATCGTCTTACCGTTTCCCCTGGTTCCCTCAATAAAAATGATTTCGCTGTTCTTAAAACAACTTCTGCCACTGTTACAAGAATTTTTTCGGCAGACAAAACGAGGAAGTGATGCATGTTCTCCGCTATAGTCACTTAGCAACCTTCAGAATTTTTCCACCCCACGCTGTCTGTTGATAACGAAAATGAAGTGGCAACGAGACGAGAAATGAAAAGAATGATAGGATTAGCAATGGAGCTTCTGTTCAACAACGCGCTCCGTCGACAACTTTGGTTAAACCTTTTCCGTTACCATTCTCTTGATGGGTCACCCAGGATCACGGTCTACTCGCAAACGGTCAGTTTTAAAAGCCCTATCTTCGGAAACATTAACCTTTGTAGTAAGCAAGTGTTGGTTTTTGATTGAGTCCGCTTCCCTGTTTAGTTTAATAGCCTTTTGTACGTTCATTATTGGAACCACAAGAATTCTTAGGTTGCCCTTCCGCTCCTCGTATGCAAGTGATTGCAAGTAGCGCCTAATGAGCCTTCACCTTGAAAACTATAGAGAGCCGAACCTGGGTAACTATATAGATTGCAAGCGCACCTACTTGTGCAACTGATCAATAACAAAGGAAGTAAAATTGGTCACTTATTACTGCCCCAAAAGTTTCTGAATTTGGCATCCATAACATCGGGACACACCCCGTATTTATGTATGTGTATGTATGTATATATGTACGTATGCATGTATCTGTGTTATGTATGTACCAGTCGGATCGCCCGGCTAACGCCAGGCTCTCCTTTTTCTTACGGGTTCGCCCGGCTACCCCGGGCGTTCCTCCTTCCTGTGACAAATTTACTTGCGTAAATAATAATTCGGATTCTCCTTTTTCTTAGAAAGCTCTACACCCTAAGAATTAGCTCCGAATTGGGAGCGGTTTTTCTCGTAAGCCATCTTCGCTGTGTCCGGATAGAACATAGTATAATATCACAAAGGCGATTATTCAGAGAAAGATAGTATTCAGAGACTTCACCGCGGCTGAGGCTACTATGTTAGCTACCATCAATGTTCCTCAATGGTAGCGGTCGTAATCTGATAGCAAGAAGTGAACCAAATTCATCTCCTTATAATCACACCACTTACCCTTCTTGTCGAATGAAACATATCAAAAAGTCAAAGCTAGATCGTAAATAAGAAAGGCGCTAGGAGGTGATTGGTGAGTGGATCTTCTTCTCTAGGGCCTCTTCTATTGTCAGTGTTTCCATCCTCCCTCCTCCTACTGATTTTGCTCTCCAAGTCCACGGGATCAGGAGTTATGGATTTCCACTCATTTATTTCGCGGAAACCCGTCCCTAGGGGGTGGAGTCCGGCCCTACTACTCACCATAAGTGCTCCCATACTGCCGCCTGCCTCCTATCAAGTTTAAACGCCCTAGAGCCAAACTGAAAATTTTGGCGTAACCTCGCCTTCTATGAGCGGGGTCCGGTCCTCCCACTTACGATAAATGTTCCCATCCTGCCGCCCGTGCTCCTACCAAGTTTGAACGCTCCAGGTCCACGGGGACAGGAGTTATGAATTTACGTCCTAAAATTTTGATCGTGCACGCCTCGCTCCCTGAGAACGGAGTCCAGTCCTGCCACTTACCAAAGGTGTTCCCACCCTGCCCCGTTTACTCCTACCAAGTTTGAACGCTCTAGATCCACGGGGACAGGAGTTCTGAATTTCTTTCAGGCACACACACACATAAACAAACACACACACACAAACACACCGACACACCAACAGACGTACTTCGCGAATTATATAAAGTAAGATAAGTTTTCCATACCACTATGTTTATCATAATCGCAAAGCAACCCGGACGGACAGACCGACATACCGACATACCGACATACCGACATACCGACATACCGACAAACCGACAAACAAAGTTATTGCTTTATATATAAGAAGGATGTACGCATGCTTTACCGATATGTCGGTTGAACTAGCGGATTAACGTAGGCGGGTCTAATGAAAGGATATACACTTCTGCAAGGGCAACACGAAAGACATACCGATGTAGGTAGAGCAGGTCGTGGTCCTGGCTGAATGCAGACTCCACGTTGAACAATCATAGTCGGATCTGGGCAAATGCACCAACCCTCTCGGCATACGGAACCATTAATGCATTTTCGAGCATTTGTGCACGGACCTCCCGGAGGAGATGTAGCTGGTTCACTGCCTAAAGTAAAGTTCACATCGTCTAGTGAAATGACTAGATTTCAGATTCTGCTATTTGGCTTCTGCCTTTCTGAGTCCAAGATCTAAGCTGCTCAGATGACGCCTGAAACTAAATCAATTGAGCGCCGCGACCCTTTTTCACGCGCTGCAAAAAGGCAGGCAGGCATGGTGTCCGTCCCTACCGAATTTCATATTTTGAAGACTAACAGTGCAAGGATCACAAGAGAGAGGAAAGGTTGCACGCAAACGTTTCTTCATGTCAATCGGCACACCTCTTTCACTACGGTATTCGAATCCAGGTAGGCAACTGCAGACCATTTGACCCTTACACAATGAGTATTCTTGCAAATGATTTTACTTCCACAGCTGTTGCCTGGACCAACAGTTGGCGATAGATTCACGCTCTTCCTATTTAACACATCATCACGGATGCTGTGCACACCGCTCCGTCGATACGGGTCTGTACGTTGTTACAGTCATTTCCAGGCCAAGCGATGGTCACGCATATTCCGGAAATACCGCGTCGATTGCCGCCACGCACACGCAGATTTTTTTAGGCCTCTGTTGCTATTTGCACCTTCAGCTCTACTGTAGATACTACTTCTATGTGGATTCACGTTGAGCAACTGTCTAGCTTTGCCGACCATCTCTTTTTAGAGGCCTCCTCATTCTTCTTGCATTTTTAATAAGAACCATGCATGACCATTTTTATGGGATAACTCGTCAATTGAGCTTTTAAATTAGCAGGTATTCTCCCGATGAAACAATCAGATCCTTGTATAGCTGATGCTGACTTTTTCTGACGAAAAGAGGTGACGTTCCATAGACATATTACCGACATTTGCGTTGCTTCAGCGCTACGTAAACTGAAAATCCGGAGACAAGCATGGTTCCAGGGATATACTATCGTTTCACACCGTCTTTGTATACAACCGTTCCCTGTGAAGTTATGGAAAAAGAAAAGAGTTACTTGGCATCTGTAGACTACAGATTTGGCAGATAGGTTCGAGTAGAATGAGTTGTGGGAGGTGATTTGGAGCTCTGACGATGCAGAGCGTGCTGTTCTGCATCCGCTTCACTCTGTACTACGACGCGATTAGAACTGTTATTCTCCTGCCTCACACAGTCCCTAGTACTGTGAGGCAACACTAGGATTACTGCAAATTCTGAAAATGTACGATCCCCATTCTTGAAGCTACTTTTGTAGCCAAAACGAGTAAATGGGTACCAGAACCTCAGGATGGGAACGACTGACGAATAAGTCGGCCGGGAAATTTTCATCAAGTTTAGTGATTAGCATGGGTGTACCATCAGCTGGTAATATGAGAAAAGAAGAAAGAAAAAAAAGGGAAAAAAAGGAACGACCTGAACCACATGTTTCGTCGACAATATTGGAACCATCGAGGCACACACATTTCTCGTTAAAACACGACGCTCCCGTATGGGCAGCTGCACATTGGAGGTCGTGGCGGCATCCGACTTGGCCCGGGTAGATGACTGAAATGAAGCGAAGACGTGCGAGGTGTAAGACAGATAACACCTTTGACTACTCAGATAAGCAATTGTGTAGAGTATCCAGGGAGTACTGGCTGAATTCAACGAAAGCGATTTCAATAGATCAGCACCGCAACACCCTCCGAATAAGGGCCCGCATCAGTAACAGAGTGGGGAGGTTTCGACTCGGTTCTCAAGGTAGCGGCACGGGAGCGCTTTCGCAGTGATTTCGGGCCACTACCGTAACTAACCATTGGGACTCCAAATCCTACCTCTGCACTGCGCGCGACCGGGGAGAGGCACGAGTAAAGGTCCCATTCCCACAGCTCGATACACCCTGCATGTCATGTGTATGGTGGAAGCAGGACTCCGTTATGATTGGTTACCGCGAACAGTGCGCCGATTGCAGGTACCTCTTATAATTATTGCTTTCTCCTCTTTACCGTGGTCAGGTTACTTGCGGAAGCTTTCAAGGTATGCTTGCGAGCGAGCAGGGTCCAACTGGACTTGATTACCTCTCGACGGGGAAGAACAAATGACGTTACTGGCGATGCAAATTGATGTTCAAGTAGACTACAAAAGATACAAGTTATCCTGACTTTTCATCAATGTGGTCCTGTTTGATTCTGATGAATCGCGTTTTAGGATCTTCCATAAATATGGGCGCCAAAATGCTGAATCTTCTAAGGTAGAAGAATTTCACCAAATTCACTTCACCCGCTAGTAACTAGTCACCTAGGTAGGTTTTCTTGCAACATCATGGTTAACGAAGTGAAACTCCCAGTATCTTTTGGATTGCCGAGGCTTACTAAATGCCACATGTAATCTTCGGCATGTGAGAGGCGGAAGAGCATCGCAAAATTCCTTGCGTTTTTTTATTTTCTATACGGAATGTGTTAAACGATATAGACAAGAAGATTCAATCAAAGGCAAACCAGGAAGGGGTGGGATAGTCAGTGTACCCAAGTCCTATTTTCGAACTTCCGAGATCACTAGTTGAAATGAGAATCTGGCGTTGCAGTTCTCCGATAAATTTCAACGGTTCCTTTTTCTAGCACAGGCTCTCTGGTACACAAGGACTTAAGTTATTATACTATGGAGCACTACAAATTTCAAATGCTTTGCTCACACCACTATGAACTAGATTATGGTGGCATAGGGCAGGATCAATAGCGTAGTTTACGGTGGAGCCTCTCAGAAAGTATGCTGATTGGCGAAATAACTATGTCAGCCAGTTAAGAAATGATGCACAGAGAGACTTGAGAGCGTGTGACGGAACTTCTCCTCGAATTAATTCATTTCGCCTTCGATCGCTGGCCTTGTGCGGCGGCGGATGCCTCGGCTCCCTTTTAATTTTCCGATAGGAGTCTTATTACTGTCACTA